CGGGGGACGGCGGGGAGGGGGCGGCGGTGTGAGACAGAGACAGAGACATATATGAGATACTTGATTTGACTGTCAGTGTCTCTCATCCCTCCTCATCTCCCTGCACCTATGAAGGAGCTTGACTAAATGCGATGGTCTTTTGTCCTTTGGTTCTGCCAAGTCCACCTTTTTTCCAGAAGCTACTTCACAAAGCATAATTAGGTTACGTCTACCTTCCTTCTCTACTTTTCACACCATGTGGAGAAACTAAATATTCTGCTGTGCTCCCCCTGTGCCAAGATCCTTAAATGGGGGCTGAGGTTCCTGCCTCTTCCCAGACCAGCCGCTCCCCTCTGCTGCCTTCTCCTCACCTTGGCTGCTTCTCCAGCTCCTCTTCTGGAAGCAGTTGCTGGAGCTGGGAGCCACATGAGGCTAAAATGGAATCATCTGTTTGTTGCCTTGCCCTCCTCTTTGTGATATTTAAGGCAGACTATTGTGTCCCTTTCATTGGTCATTTATTGGTAGCAGAACTTTTTCCCTTTTCCACTATTTTTGGTATATGGTTTGTGATTATAACTATTTGAAATTAATTTATTTGAAACCTCTTTCCAATGCATTTCCCTTAAAATGTAAACACCCCTTGTAGACCATCCAACTGTTACTGTAGTTATTCCATCCTGCCTTATATTATACAGCTCTTCATTCCTTCCAATACACGGTAAAGTCCCAGGGGCAGTTGTCTAGGTTTGCTTAGGACTGAGAAGTTTCTTGAGATGTGGACTTTCAGTGCTAAAACCTGGAGAATCCCTAGCAAACTGGATGGTTGGCCTCCCAACAGGGACCGTAAATGAATATTCTTTTTAGATCTTATTCCAACAAGAATAATGCCTTGCACAGCAAAGTTAGCTCAAGGGATCCAGGCAGCATGTGTCCAGGTACAAATAATTTACACCAAAATACAGACATCCTCATGTACATGGTCATCCACGTACGCTCTCTCTTACACATATCTTTGAGATTGAAGTCTAGTGAGAATTCTTTCGAAAAACACAATAATTACAAGATCATTCAGACAGTGATGTTTTCATAGCACTGCTGTGCTCATCCTCTCATTGAGCATTTGTTTATTGCATTATAGACAGTTTCAGTCAGGCACAGTAGATGGAGAACTTCTCAGGGCCAGAAATGTCTTACTCATTTTTTAAGACCCCCCTGGTAGAATATCTGGAACATGGTCTGTTTGGTTATTGTTTGTTGAATGAAGGAAGGAGTAAATGAATAAATGGAATGGACCCCTGGAGGTGGACCTCAGAACAAATTCTACTTTGCCTTTTTGGGAAACCTCAGCTGCTGAATGAAAGTGAAGTTCAAATATATGTGTTTTATTCCTTGAAACACGTAGTGCTTTGAATGGATTTTAAAATGCCAGCAAAGATGTTACTAGAAAAACGAGAATGCATTTTTTTCGGGCTCAGCAGGTGACCCTCTCCTGATTCTGGGATGGATTTTTTCCAACTGCACACATAATTTTAAAGCATGGTTTGTTGAGCGCTTGGCACTGTATGTGTGCTTTTATTCTGCTCTGGCAAAGGAAGTTAAAGCATTATCTGGCAAGTTTGCAGAAGGGATCTTTTCAATGCAGAGAATTTTATTGTTGGTAAGTGATGATTCAGTCTGCAGGGACTGGGGCTGTGAGGGAGCTCTCAGTTTTGAAGCACATTGTCGCATCCCATGCCTCTGTTCCTCATCTCTTTTCTGCTTCTAAGAGCTCTGCCATCAGTCTGGACTTCAGAGGCAGCTCTTACCTTTCTTCTACAGGAAAGAAACAGAATTTTCAGAGCCAAGCCTGTGACCAGGGTGAGCCCTGTGTGCCTCTCGCCTAGGGTCAGTGTAATCTTCTCTGATGTTTATTTCACCTGGAATTCTCTTCTTCCTCCTCTCTGTGTTTTTATTCCTTTTCCATCCTTCAAGGCCCCAGCCATTGCAGCCCACAGGATTTGCTGTGCTCTCTGAATTCTCTGTACTTTTTATCAGTGCCACGAGGTGTCCTTATTTTATTTGAGCTCATTTTATTTCCTGTGTAAGTGTTTTTGAGGGCAGGAATCGTATCTTCTCTTTAGATTCTTCCCAGCCACCCCGGCTAGACAATGACTTCTTTTTAATGTCATTATAAAAAGCATTGAATAAATTGGCTTCTGCAATTAGAGCTCAGGGTTTTCTAGAAATCTGTGATGTGGATTGTTGTGTGGGGATTAAGGAAAGTAGCTAACAGAGACAAAAAGAATTAAATGGAAGGAAATGCAAAATATTAAAATATCACAAAATAAGATCTCACCAGTAGAATCTTTCCATTAACTTACTTTCAGAAAACTCCTGTTAAAATTATGCACTCACATACCTCTATGTACACACATACATGTACACAAACTTATTTACATATATATACATTTATACATATTCACAGACACACATCTACACATACATTTACACACATATTACACATGTGTATGTGAAGCAAACCCTCAGCAGAGGATCTTACCAGGTGAGTTAGGTGTTACCATTGAGAGAACAGGACATATGCAAGTAACAGGTAAGCTTCGATGGGGAAGACAGGTCCAAACAAGTGCAGAGCCAGAGGCCTGGCCCTGAGAAGGCTGTTGGGACCCTGGAACATGAACTGCCAGGTGCCTGGGACAATCAGAGTTACAGAGAGGAGAAAGGGGGAACTAGTAAAGGTGATTGTGTCTGCTCAGGAAGGGTGAGACTTAGCAACTGTGCTCCTGCCTTGTCATTCCCTCAGACAGTCATGTCACTGGAGGTTACCAAGGTTTTCTAGAGTTGTAAATGAAAAAATGCCTTTTTACCTTTGCTCATTCAGTCTTTAAGACCTTTAGCATTTGGCACGCACAAGAAAAGCCATAGTCAAGGAGTCTAGTCTAACCCTCTTTGGACTTTAGCTTTCTCATCTGTAAAATGGAATTGGTGTCTTCTTTATTTCATAGACTTCTTATAGCAAAGAAGGGTAGGATCCACTGCCCTTTTCCTGGCACTGGGTGGCCCCAGTGGGCCAGGCCTGTGGCGTATTGCACCTGTGTAGCCTCTTGCATCTGAGTTTTCATTAACCAGATCTGCATATTGAAATTTCATTGTTTTCTTGTTAAGATCTATCCAAACACAGGTAATTATGATGGTCAGCCAGAAATGTCTCGCTGCTTCATCTCCGCTGCTCTATCAGTTCACTCAGTTTACTTCAAAATCTTTTTGCACTTTATGAAATAAGTATTTGTTTGGGCCTTGCCTATTATTGTGAAAACAAGCCTAAACACACATGTGTTTTGTTTTCTAGGGAGACGTGCATCCAGCAGGATGGGAGAATTCATCTAACTGTTGTTTACTTTGGGAAGGAAGAAATGAATGAGGTCAAAGGAATACTTGAAAACACTTCTAAGTAAGTACGAAGTGGAGCCATAATCAGGAATCATGGTGACTGAGCTCATACACATGCAAGGCTGAAACTTCTGTTTTAGGTTGATTTTTCCTAACAGTAGGGGAAAATGGGAGGTTTGGTTGCTGGCCATGTTTGGGGGAATTCTGCACCCTCCTTCCTTGGGAGACCACCCTACTCTGTCTGACACTAGTCTTCATTGTGCAGGGTGTTGATTTTGACTTTGAGATAAACCGCCCTGAGCAGTGAGGGTGGGAACACGAGCTCCTTTGAGCTTCCACATGATTGTATGCCATCATTCTTACAACTGTAGATTTGGGATCTTTACTTAAAGAGTAGGAATTAGGGAGGGCACAGCTTGCATTGAGCTCCATCTCAGCCACAGCTTGTATGGCTGAGTGGTAACCATACTCATATCTCATCCACTTAGCAAATAGTCTCACTCTTCTGACTTTCATTCGTGATGCATTTTGAGAGATTAGGGGCAAGCCAGAAGTGATGGCTGGGACAGGATCCTTGATTAAATCTACTCAGTTGAACAGAAATTATTTAACCAAAAACTTTAGACTTAGGCTTATATGTTTATACCTTGTTGATCAGTTGCATGGGGGAATAAATGTATTCAAAGCAGCAGAGATAGATTTTTTTCCCCTACCGTAAGTATTTATTTAATAAATAAATATCTATGACATTTTCTACGAGTGAGAAAGCTGGAATGGTACTGCCATGCTCCTCTCTGGTTTGCCATAGAGATTTGTAGGGTTTCAGTTGAGTAATGAGGCGGGGGTAGTTTCTCCATAAGTGAAACTTGGAAGGTGATCAGTAGTTAACTCAGTGGCAGAAATGGTCCATATGGTCCATATGGTCTACATATAAACAGGGCCTCTACTTTGAGTTTCTGAATAGGTCCATATGGTCTAAATATAAACAGGGCCTCTACTTTGAGTTTCTGGTAAATGGTACTAGGATGATAGTCAAAGGATAAGATTCCAAGATTTAGTGCACTTTTGTATTTATTGTCATGTTTTGTTACTAATTTTGTATTAATATGCACAAGATCAGAATGCTAATTATAATTATTCAAACATTCTGAAGCAGTCTACTGGCCAAATTTTGTCCATCAATTGTTTTAGTAAATAAAGTTTTATTGGAATGAAGGCACACTTATTTGTTTACATATTATTTATGGCTGCTTTTGTGGTACAACCGCAGAGTTGGATAGTTGTGACAAAGACTATATGACTTGCAAAGCCTAAACTTTACTATTTGGCCCTTTACAGAATAAATTTGCTGACTTCTTTTCTAAATCAATAAAGAGTTAAGAATTTAAAACTAGTAACTGCTTAAAGCTATGGTCCCTATTGAAGGGAGATCAAAGTGAATGAAATAATTGAATATCTTAAATGTAAGTGAAATAGAAATCTCTCGACTGCAGTGCATTGCAATATCCTTTTCATCTCTGCTTAGGAATGAGGAATGTCAATTATTAGAATGTATGCCCTCTGCCCAGTGGATAGGTTTTAATATCTCTGGAAGTGCCCATCCCTGAGCATGATCTTTTAAAAATATCTCAGATGATTCTAACATGCAGCCAGGATTGAGAGCCATTGTCTTAGAGACTGGCAGTCCACCTCAGGAGCTTCCTGGGAGAGGTCTTGATCGCAGCCAGCTGCCCATTCCAAGGTATTTTAAGTAACTATCCAGGTGACCCCAAGACGCAGCCAGGATTGAGAACCTCAGTCCTAATGGGTCTGGCACCTTCTGAGCACATCAGGGGATAACCAGACATTTGCTAATAGATACATATAACCAAATTCACAGGAGTCTGATGGGTAAGTGGAAGGCCAGTTTAGACATTGTTATGGGAAATACCCTTTCTAGTGACTAGAATGCTTAAGGACTCATTATCAAGGCATTCTTTTCAGTATCAAATTACCTGGCAAGCTGAATTCTCAATCAGAATGTTGCTTGGTGAGCAAAGAATGAATAGAATCTGAACATGAAAAGTAAAATCATTTGAGTGGTAGGGATGTAAGTTTACTTCAAATTCTGGAGAATTTCCAGAAGTTACTCTACGCATAGCAGAGAACTTGGTGCTAGAGACTGAGTTGATCAGTGCTTTAAAGCAATGCTGCAGAAACTTTGGCAAAATTAATTGGAATCGCAATTTTCTGTGTTGATGTCCTCGTTCTGTTAACTGCAGTGTTATCTGCAGTGTGATATCTGCAGTGTTAATGTCGCTGATGCCTTGGGGCGTGTCCTACCCCCTCTGTGGTGCTACTTTGCTGAGACCACCTCTCTTAGGAATGCCCCACCCTCTGCAGCCAGCCTGAGTTGATCTCACACTGCTGCACTGCCACTCCGCCTTCAGATGAATCTTCCTATTCACCTGTCACCCCAGCCTGGTACCCAAACTGGCTTCTACCCTTGTCTTGACAACTTATTACGGCCTCCAGCCAAAGTGGGGGCCTGGTTTGCCCCTTTGCCTTTGTTTCCATTATTCTCCTCTACTTGGCATTTCCTCCACTCTTTCTACTTACTCAAACCCCCCACCTGAGTCCCCACCTCTGGAGCTCTTCCTGATCTTTATTCCTCTCCTCTCTGAACTGTTCTCCCTTTCAGCACATGTTATATTTAGCACTTGGCATATGATTTGGCTATTTAAATTTCTTTCTTTTGTCCTAACTAGGTTATTTGATGCTTAATAAGTAGTACCATATCACATGCCTCTTTGTAGCTCCAGCACTTAGCAGAATGCCTTACTCAGAAAATGTTCAGTGTTTATTAAGAGAAGGATAATGACAGGTATATAATAAATTTGTAAACATAGTAATCTATATGAAAACTTATATAAGAAGCTTTATTTAAATATCATTTTTATCATTCTTTTAATATGGTAAAACTTTTGTTTAAATGCACCTTATCTTTGAATAGTAATCATTATTATTTATATGGATTATCTTATTTAATATTCACAGCAACCTTATGAGGTAGATGTTATTATTAGCCCTGTTTCGTAGATAAAGAAACTGAGGCATAGCGAGGTTGTTACTTAGGCTGCCATCTCTGACCCGTGGGAGAGCCAGGGTACGAACTTCGTCTGTGAATTCTGGGATGCCCAGTCTAAAATTGCACCAAATTTTCACTCCAATATACTCTCTCCTAAAACCCACAATGGTTAGTTGAAAGTAATAAGATTTGAAATCAGTCTAAATGAAATTTATTTCATTTGAGTATCAGTAGTGTGATTACACTATTCTAAATCCAGCTAATAAATGTATATATTTTAAGAACATCTTTTAAAAATCCAGTTTAATGACTATGTGCAATGTTTTACTCTCTCTCGGTTTATGCTTACTCATTTGAGATTTACTTTTCAGTTAATTGCTATAGATCAGTGTTTTGCAAACTGCAATTTGTGATTCATTAGGGGGTTATGAAATAGATTTAGTGGGTTATGTTCAGTGTTTTAAGAAATAGAATAGGAGAGATGATATCAGAGTGCCTCCCAGCAGTAAGTATTGTTTCATGAAACTTTAATTTCTGTGCATGTGTGTGTGTGCATGTGCGTGTATTGTCTCCTAATGTGTAATATATTGCTTTGCAAGGGTTGCAGTCAAAGTATTTAAAAGCCACTGCCATAGAAAACAGCACAGATTATTTTTCAGTATCTGATTCTTATTCCACAGTTTTCCGTATTAAGCTCAGTTAATCCCAGATTAAAGCCAAAGTCAGTAGCTCTCAAATATAAATGGGCTTTGGATAACTTGGTGTGCTTTTGAAAATATGCATTCCTGGGATCCAGTTCCAGAAATTCTGAGTCAGTGAGCCTGAGATGAAGCTTGGGAACCAACACTTAGAATGAGTTCCACATGTGATGTTGATGTGGGTGGCTCATGGCCTACACTTGAGAAATGCTGGGTTAGATAGACATTTACTTATAGCTGTGTACAGTAAATCCTCATTTAATGCCATTGATAGGTTCTATGACTTAAAGCAAAACAACGTATAATGAAACCAGTTTTACCATAGGTTAATATAAACAAGAGTTAAATTCCTATGGCATCTCATCAACATTATAATGAAATGCCATTCGCTGTCTGGTGTTATTCAAGGACCTGCTGCATTAGGAAATTTGAAAAACATAACTGGTAGATGAATTAGCATAAGTTGACATTTACTGCATTGCAAGTTTATCTTTATACAGTCATGAGGACACAAAAGCATCTTTCAGTGGAATTAGCTTTGAGATTAAAGTACTAGAAGTGAGATACTGCCCTGCCATTGCAAGTATGTGACAAAAGAAGGAGGTGTGTGTGTGTGTGCGTGTGTGTTGTCAGGGACCTGCTTTGCCATGGTGTGTATCAGCATGTCATGCCTCTTTGAAGGGATTTGTTTGACACGTACCCTCAGAAAGATTTTATCAGGACATCTCAGAAGAATATTGGAGGGGAGAGAGATTTCGTTCTGTTTTGTTTTGATTTGTTTTTGAAATTTGAGCAGAATTATTGCTTTGTTTTACTTTTTTTCTTAAACGAGGAACTTTTTAGAAACTCTTATCTGCTAAAATGAAAAATGCAACATAGTGAATCTCTCTCAAGCAGATAAGGAGTCATGCACCCTGAGAAGCACCTCACACACCTCAGGCTTGTGACCATCTCACCTGGAATTTGCCAGGGAAGGGGCCAAGAAGCATGATTCCGCTTGGTGGACCAGTGCTTTATGGAGATGTGCCTATATTTTTTGGCATTCTAAATGGTTTGTTGGAAGATTCAAACATGGCATATAGATTATAGTATTGTGACACTGTTAAATTTCCTGAGTGTGGTTATTATGTTGTCATAATGTTATAAAGGAAATGTCCTGGTTCTTGAGAGATACTTGTCTTTGAGGGTAAAGTTGTCATAATGTCTGCTACGAACTCTCGACCTTCAGAGGAAGAAAGAAAAAAATGTATGGCAAATGTTGACATGTAGTGAATCTGGGTAAAGGGTATGTGAGTA